TTTGGGAATTATGTTTAGCATACATTTGGAGGGCCATTTTTGATGTTTTTTTTTGATGTGTAGCGCCAGAGCGCTGCGACAGGAAACAAAACCGCATATTGCGGCGACCCCTCTCTGTGTATGTATATGTTTATGTGTGTCTTCGTCTGTCCGGATATTTCTGCTCACCAGCCACGCTAGCTTTGGTGTCGAAATTTTGCCATTGTGGCCAAATTTTGGACACCTTGGCCAAATGCGACCACAGGAACGTGATATCAGCTGTCTCTCATGTGCAGAGACGTGAAAATTTTGGCGGGAAAACTGCTGGAAGAGAATGAGAAAATGAGAAAAGCTGGAAGGCTGGAATTTTGAGGAAATATTCCCTACTCATGTGCGACTAAAAGTTTTCAAAACAGCTCTTCTAGTGGGGTCTTTATCGCGCGCGAAGAACTCTTTATTTGTCGGGTCACTGAAGTTGACGTCTACTGCTGACATGTCACGTAGCTGTATGTCCTGAACTTCGTTTCGAAGGCCATTACGTCACAAATTCTAGCTACTGTGATTCCTTGCGATTTTGTTACAGCACGAAATAGTGCAAAAACATATGGCCGCGCTGGCTAGCCGGGTGCATTGCAGCCTGGGTTTTTTTTTTTTTAAATAAAGACGGATTACATTACGGATTTGGTGGAAACCTTGAGTTTTGCAGGTGAGGCGTATTGAGTATGTACATATTAAGCATCTGATTTATCGCGACGTGAAGCCGGAGAATTTCTTAATTGGACGGCATTCAACAAGGAAACAGCATTTACTTCATATCATCGATTTCGGACTCGCCAAAGAGTATATCGACTGTGATACCGGCAAGTTTCTTCAGCTCTCTGTTTGACTCGTTGCCTCATTTAAAAGAGGAATGCGATGAAGAAAGTGAACATTTCCAGTCAATTTGTGCTCGTCTTCTGTTTCAGCTTCGGGTATCTCATTTGAGTAGAGTCTCCGTGGAAACCCTTGCACAGTTAATTTTTAGCAGGCATATCTCCTATCGATTTTCATTGCCGTGCTGATAGATGAGCTGAAGCACTTCTCATGCGACAGTAGGAATGTGATATATCTAATATTATCACTTTGTGTGTGTGTTTGTGTGTGTGTGTGTGTGAGTGTGTGTGTGTGTGTGCGTGTGCGTGTGTATGTGTGTGTATGTGCGTGTATGTGTGTATGCGTGTGTGTACGTGTGTGTATGCGTGTGTGTGTATGTGTGTGTGTATGTGTGTGTATGTGTGTGCGTGTGTATGTGTGTGTGTGCGTGGAAGAAAAAGCGTCGACGTGAAACTGAGCACGATATAATGCAGCACCGGTCCGAGTAGTTGTGATAGTCTAATCAGTAGTGCCAGCAGCGCTGAAGGGCACTGAAGTGAAACAACAGGATGCAAAAACCGCCCCTTAGTATTGTGCATCGGGTTTTGCATCTGTGTAAGTGTGACTCAGGTAGCAGCGCGCACCAGAACTGCCGATGTGGCCATGCGTTTTTGCCCTAATCTTTAGACAGCCAAATCGTCTCAGCAGTATGAATGGTTGCTACTGTGCAGTTGAAAATGTGGCCTCTTCCTGAATATAGGTGAGA